GACAGAGGCAGTAAACCCTAAACCTTGAACCCTAAACCCTTAACCCTAAAACCCTAAACCCTTAACCCTAAACCCTAAACCCTAAACCCTAAACCCGAAACCCTAAACCCTAAACCCTAAACCCAGTAGTGGCAGCAGAGATCCGAAGCTGCCGACAACTTGGATTTACACGACTCAAGCGATCAGGCGAGCCTTTATCCGAAGAGCTGGAATCGAGATTTTTGCTGGTGGTAGGTCCAGATGGTGGAGCTAGACCCTAAACCCTAAACCGCTAGCGTAGCCATGGATCTAAGCTTTCGAAGTCATCTAAGAGGGGAGACCGGCCTCCATGGCTCTTACTGACATGTGTACGACTTGAAGCTGGCAAGGCCGCCGAAACACGATACCACGATCCGAAACCGCAGCTCAAAAGGTTCTACGCGGAATTCTTCCAAAAAGGCAAGGCCACGAGGCCGTGCTAATGTAGAAGCCTCAATCGTTACCTATACTAGTTTGAGGGGCCCCCTTAGTATAATCTTAGTATAATACTTAATACTAGTTTTGGGGGCTCCTTAGTATAATCTTAGTATAATATACCCCAAAGCCCTTATTCTAATTATTAAGGCCCCTAAACCCAAAACCCTTCTAGCGTCCCTTATAGAACCCTTAAAAAGGAATCCTTTAAAGGAGCCTTATTCTAATTCTTATAAGGCCCCGACATTCTAATTATTAAGCCCTTGTTCTAATTATTAAGGTCCCTAAACCCTAAACCTTTCTAGCAGCCCTTATAGATCCCTTTAAAGGAGCCCCAAAACCCTATTCTAATTCTTAAGCCCTTCTGCGACCCTGAAAGCTGGTGCCTCCTAGAGAGCAACCGAGGCTCCGGCTCACATGGAGGGTTTTCCGAACATCGGGGGACCCTAAAAAAACAGTGGTTTAGGGTTTAGGGTTTAGGGCCCTAAAGACTAGGATCCTTATTATAGTGACCCCAAAATAAGGTACCCCTGATCTTCGGAAACTCCCACAAACCCTAAACCCTAAACCCTAAACCCTAAACCCTTAATAAGGTACCCCTGATCTTCGGAAACTCCCACGTGATACAGCGGGCTTGATGTTTCGAGCTGCTGTCAATGGATCCTGCTGGTCCCAAACCCGACACCCAGAGACTCCAATATCCCTTAATTAAGGAATATACCTTAAATCATGTTAATGATCCTACTATAATTTAAGGAATATTCCATTAAAGAATATACCTTAAATCATATTAATGGTCCTACTATAATTTAAGGAATATTCCCTAATTAAGGAATATTGGAGTCTCTGGGCACATGGAACCTCACGTCCTTCTGCTCAGCGAGCTTCGGCCTCCGAACCCAGAGACTCCAATATTCCTTAAGTAGGGAACATTCCTTGTTCCTTAGATTATAGCAGGATCCTTAATATGATTTAAGGTATATTCCTTAGTTAAGGGATATTAAGGTTATTCCTGAACTAAGGATATTGGGGTCTCTGGGAAAAGCCTCCAATCCCAAAACTTGCACCCCAGATTTCAATCCCCTAGAGCCCTTGTCCGCGGCCTCAGCGCTGAGATGCCCTAAACCCTAAACCCTGAACCCTAAACCCTAAACCCTGAACCCTAAACCCTAAACCGACCCTAAACCCTAAACCGCTGAGCACTTTCTGCAGGATGCTCATGCGCTCTTGGCGGGCAACGCCGTGGAGCAGGCCGTTTCATCGTTGGTTTGCAACTTCCTTGTCGAGTGCTCGTTTAGATTACCTTGAGGGCTTGTGGCAGAGAGATTCAAGAGAGGGAGTGTTCTTGCCCTCTGCTTTCGTCTCCACCTCTGCTTTCCCTGGACGTTTGACATATCGCCACAAGCCGCGAAGCAGCGCTTGCCACTGAGACCAACGTGCTCCAGCTCGTGGCGCGCGTTCTGCTGTTCAACGGCGTGCACCCGGATGTCGTGGAGGTCTGCTGTGCAGATCTAGCTCGCGTCAGACTTGAAGTAATTGGAGGATCATGGGACTTAGTAAGTAGGGTTATGAGTCCCCTAATTGGGGTTATAGTTATAGTTACCTTAGTTATCGCCCTACTTACTAAGTCCCATGATCCTTGAAGTACCGAAGGCATGCGAAGAACCACTTTGCCATGGTCTTACGCTTTTAACTTCCTGTAAAGTCAGCGTGAGGCTAGTGGTGATCCTTCCGAGATCTTCGCGCAGGTAATGAGCCTTCGCCTTATCATGCGTCATCCCGCATAGACAAGGGATTGCCCGCCCCGAGCCGAGGTGGGAAGTACACGAGCCCTAAGAACGCGTTGCCCGCGAAGCCGAATGTGCCACTGCCAAAGCAGCCTGGCCGATCAAGAACCCAGTTCTGTCCAAGTACATCCTGTATGAGACATTCTCTACACAGTAACGGTGACAACATGTCTTGCTGCTCTGCTACTGCTACTGCTACTGCTACTGCTACTGCTACTCCTACTACTACTACTACTACTACTACTACTCCTGCTGCTGCTGCTGCTGCTGCTGCTACTGCTTCTACTACTACTACTACTACTACTACT